AAAGGAGACAAGAAGCGTACTTCTGGTCATTTAGACTCCAGCGAGCCCAGCAGCAAGCGACCCAAGAGCAACAATGAGAACCAAGGCAATGAGAAGGAGCCGAAAAGAATTCATCCCATCGTCCAGAATGGCGTGTACGTCGCGGAGATGTTCGCGGCTCATGTTGCTCGGCAGCACGTCATCTCCTGTGTGGTGAATGGTGAGTTGATTGATGGGACGCCGCAGACCTCACGTGACATTGATCGCTCCTCTCAGACGACATGCTTTACCTCTGGTATTTTGATCGGCAAAATGCAATTCAATGCTCTGGCATCAACTTCGTTCAGGACCTTCCCCGCTTTATGGTCTTGCTGCTCGCCATGCAGCGAATGGCATACGCGCACTGGGGTTATAATCCGGTATTCGAGCGTGAGCCTGGATCTTCGGGCGAGATTCACCACGTCGAGGATCCAAAACATGGCCTAGTCGACCTCAAATTTGACTTGAAGTCGGACGATCGCACAACTCACTTCGGTCTGCGCGGACGCGCAACCACCGTCTTTCCAGTGGAGAGCATCAAGTTATCGAGTCTGCTATCGGATTCTCATAACACAAGCAGCGACTGGTTGCCAAGCTGTATTGGCCAGAAGAGTCGCGTGAGAGCGAGCCCGAGATTCTCAAGAAGGTGTATAAGATTGCGGAACGCGAGATGAAGGTGAAGGGTCACGTCCCAGATATGGTTTGGTTCCACAAGTTTGAAGGAACATCCACGGCGAACATCCGGAATGCGCTAGGAATTGGACGACGCTACAAGGCAGTCGCGTCCTGTACATCATCGTATTCAGAAACTTATCCCGATCACGAAGTTGAGCGGGATGGAGTTCCTCACCGCATGGTGGCAAGTTGGTCTGTGGTTTGTAGGTTCTTTTCTCCTTGCGCTTCTTCTCGTCCATTCATTCCCCTGACACCAGGTCATCATGTCCTTTGGCAAAATGACGTCACCACCGCGACGTCAGCCCTAGCAATCTCATGGTATACAAGACCTCAGATGGTCGATGGATTGGTGTCCTCAACGACTATGACCTATCATCGACTAAACAAGATGGTCCCAGCGGCAACGAGCGCACAGGGACAGTACCTTTCATGGCGATAGGACTTCTCACACTGGACGCCATCAATGGCGAGGTTGAGCACCTCTACCGACACGACGCCTGAATCGTTCATCTGGGTCCTCGTCTGGGTTTGTCTTAGGTATGAAGAAGGCAAGCTCTGAGCAAGGGTAGAACACTCGATGAGTGGCTGAGAGTGGCCGCGACTGGATGTCACGAGAAAAAAAGTAGCTTCTTGTTGTCCTTCCAGGATAACCGCAACTTGAAACCCTCGGTATCGCAATCAATCCAACTGGAAAATTGCGATATCTTGCCTCCGCTCTGTTGTCTGGTTATATGCCAAGGTTACGCCTACGCCAGACGATGAGTCTGTATTTCAGACGTGGCTGCAGGAAAAAGATACCAGCTGAAGCAAAGATACCACCGTCGTTCCAAGACTAGAATCTACTTGTGATAGAAGCAACCCTTATACTAAGTTATAGCAATGCTCAGCTACCCAACAGTATTCGAACTATCCCGATGTTCTTAACGGCCTGGAGCATTATCCAACCTACAATTATTCACTGCGATACGCAGTCATAGTGTCAATGATTAGTTGCATTGCTGATGTTATTCAAAGGAACAATTGTCTTTTTTCTTCCATAGTTATACTGATGGGAAGCTTGCATGACGATGGGGGTTGTAGTTTGAAAGAGACCTGGTCAGTGGCACCAAGTACTTGTTGAGAACGGCAAGGCGCAACCGACAACGTCCGGCCCTAGTTATACTAATAGTTTCGCACCTCCCATATGTCAAACAAGACATGCGGGCAGGCATCATCATCCTCCCAGCTTCCCGCAAGACACATCACAGGAAAATGGCCAGTCGCAGTCGTGTTCGCGTTTAAGTCAGCATTAGCGATGTTGTTAGGGACGTTGCCAGCGCTGGGACGCGAATGGTATTTGGGCCTTAGAGCGCGGTTCGGAGAGTGTCTGGCGTGCTGGAGACACAGACAACGGTTGGTGCCGCACAGGAGCCAGAGCCACTACGATCATTAAGATATGATCAGAGATCGCCAGGAATGTTATTACAAGGTGTCGTGTTGATGAACCTCTGTGGTCAAAATCGTCATTCGAATTCGTGCTCACCACATACACGGTCGTGTCGTCACTGCCTGTCATTCGTCCGCATCCAAGACTGGGGTTTCGGAGCGCATAATGAAAACTAGAGGACACTGATCACTCCGCGGTAACGAACCAGTCGCTAAGCAGACCAGCAACTGAGCGAGCAGCGTTAAGTCATCCCTGGCCAATAAAATTGAGCATACCACAAGGTACAAATGGTGCGGGACTCACAATCTCAGGTCACCACCAGGAGTAGGGCTATCATGGAAGCTGGTGCAGACAATTGGCACTTTAGCAGAAATTGCTGTGTTCGGCATCAGCATGAATGGATCAGTTCAAGTTAATGTCAAATCTAACACTTTCTCAGGTGGATATCATTCGAAGCTACTCCTCAGCGACGGGCCACATTCAAGTCATCATACTCACCAACTGTGCCACCCGCCTCAACTCCACGGGTTGGTTGTCTGGCTGGAGGTTAGTAGTCCGACATCATCGAGCACCAAATAACAAGACCTCTAACTCGTCGGTGCTATGAGGGCAACAGGTAAATGGGCGGATATGGAGAGGGCATGTTTACGATGAAGATTCAAGACTGTCCAAGGTTGAGGCCTTTGCTCACCGCCAGCGAAGCCTTCAACTCTGGAAAGTCTCAACGGTGACGGGAAACGTGCCACACAAGGTTTGACGCGCTTGGGAGAGGACGGCTCCGGGGGAAGGTTCGATTCCTGTTATATGTCCTTCTGGGACGAGTTGCGCGAAATCGAGGGTGATGGTTCCGGGCCCGCAGCCTATGTCGAGGATGTGCATGTGCGGTTTGATATATGGGAGGAGGTGGGGGGCTGAGTTTTGGGCGGTGCGCCAGCTGTGCGAGCGGAGGACGGATTCGTGATGTCCGTGTGTGTAGATGGTGTTTGAGGACATGGCTGGTGGCCATTGGTATACCTTGGTAGAGATACAGTAGCGTACAGGGGTTATGTACCTTTATTTTGGGCGGAGCTAACTACTTTCGTTGCCTCGTCCAGCGCTACTCGAATTCCTTTTACTCACCGTCATGCTGTGTTTTCACCGATAGCACCGACTCTAATCGGATTCAGTGATATCTTCGGGATTCTGAAGATAATACTGCATGCAATTGGAGTTGGCGCGGGGTGCTCCCTAGTGCTCACTCCCAAAAAAATTCTTCGTGGTTTCTGTCCCTTCAACCCTCGGGTCATCAAGGACGGCTTCATCGAGGTCCTAGATAATGTCCTACAATATGAACTTATCTGGTGCTCGATACTACTACCCTCCTGCCAACGTTGAAGCGGGTGGCACAGCTGGTCTCTGGAACGGTGAGTATGGCTCCATCGCTGAGATCGATCTACGAGTAGCTTCGAATGATATCCACCTGAGAAATTGCCAGGTTAAACGTCTTCACGAATAAGTTGTGTTCATGGTGATGTAAAACCTACCAATTTCTGCTACAATGCCAATTTGTCTGCACTAGCTTCCATGATACATTTCGTCTGCTCAGCACTCCTGGCGATGGCCTGAGCGTGAGTCCTGCACCAGTTGTCACTTGTGGTATGCTCAATTTTTTTGGTCAGAAATGGCTAACGTCGCTGGCTTAGCGACTGATTTGTTACTGCGGAGCGATCAGACCGCTGAGGTCGAGCTACGCCGCATCAAGGAAAAACCACAACCTTTTCACACCCGCCTACCTACCTGCTACCCTCATAGCACCGACGAGTTAGAGGTCATCTTAAAATTGAAGTCGTTAGTCATTTTGATCTTCGACGTTTTGATTTTTAATACCATCCGCGTCCCAGCGCTGGCAATGCCCCTAACAACATCGCCAATGCCAACTTAAACGCGAACACGACTGCAACTGGCCAGTTTCACGACTAGTTCGAGTTCGAGTGCAGGTGGATAAGCTATCAGCGCGGACTGATACCTGTGATGTGTCTTTTGGGATTGGTTGGGAGGGTGATGCTCGCATGTCTTGTTTGACGTACAGGAGGTGAGAAACTGTAACTAGGTCGCACCTTGCCGTTCTCAATGAGTATTACTTGGGGGTACTGACCAGGTCTCTTTCAAGCTACAAGCTTGCCATTAGTTTAACTATAGAAGAAGGAAGACGTTCGTTCCCTTGGATAACACCATCAATGCAAGCACCACGACTGCGCATCATAGTGAATGATGGTTGTTCAGATGACGCACACGCCTTGTTAGTGCGTTAAGAGATCTTCTAGGCTAGTCAGATGTAAGGAAAGAACACCGGAATGGTCAAATACGCGCATGCACATGCGAAAAGTTGCGTATCTCAACATTGCTATAAGGTTGCTTCTATTACAAGTGGACCTTAGTCTTGGAACGACGGTGGTATCTTTGCCTCATCTGGTATCTTTTCCAGCAGCCACGTCTGAAATACAAACTCATTTTCCAGTGTGGGTGTTTGGCCCAAGAAGAACGAGGCGAATTTGAGAAGGCAAGATCGCGCAACTGTCCAGTTCTCTTGGTGTGATGCCGACGGACGCAGATCGTCGTCCCTGAGCCTCACAAACAAAAAGTCAGTCTTTTTCTCCCTGCACCGAATAGCGTCCACTCTCAGCCAGTCATCGAGGGGTCTGCCCTTGCTCAGGAGCTCGCCACCTTCATACCGAAGGCAGACCCAGGCAAGGACCCACATGAGCGATTCAGCATCATGTTGGTACCGGTGGTCAACTTTGCCTTCAAGAGCTTTTTGTGTGAGAAGGTCGATCGCCATGAAAGGTACTGTCCCTGTGCGTTCTTTGCCTCTGGGACCATCGTGTGTAGTCGATGATAGGTCATAGTCGTTGAGGACGCCAATCCATCGACCATCCGAGGTCTTGAATACCATGAGATTGCTTGGGCTGACGTCGCGGTGGTAGACGCCGTTTTCCCAAAGGACATGATGGCCTGGTGTCACGGGTATGAATGGACAAGAAGAAGCGCAAGAAGCAGGAACACCCACAGACAACAACTTGCCACCATGCGGTGAGGAACTCCATCCCGCTTAATTTCGTGATGGGGATAAGTTTTCTGAATACGATGATGTACAGGACGCGACTGCCTCGTTCAGCATCGTCCATTCCTAGCGCCTTCCGGATGTTCGCCGTGGATGTTCCTTCAAACTTGTGGAACCAAACCATATCTGGGACGTGACCCTTCACCTTCATCTCGCGTTCCGCAATCTTATACACCTTCTTGAGTATCTCGGGCTCGCTCTCACGCGACTCTTCTGGCCAATACAGCTTGGCAACCAGATCGCTGCTTGTGTTATGAGAATCCGATAGCAGACTCGATAACTTGATGCTCTCCACTGGAAAGACGGTGGTTGCGCGTCCGCGCAGACCGAAGTGAGTTGTGCGATCGTCCGACTTCAAGTCAAATTTGAGGTCGACTAGGCCATGTTTTGGATCCTCGACGTGGTGAATCTCGCCCGAAGATCCAGGCTCACGCTCGAATACCGGATTATAACCCCAGTGCGCGTATGCCATTCGCTGCATGGCGAGCAGCAAGACCATAAAGCGGGGAAGGTCCTGAACGAAGTTGATGCCAGAGCATTGAATTGCATTTTGCCGATCAAAATACCAGAGGTAAAGCATGTCGTCTGAGAGGAGCGATCAATGTCACGTGAGGTCTGCGGCGTCCCATCAATCAACTCACCATTCACCACACAGGAGATGACGTGCTGCCGAGCAACATGAGCCGCGAACAACTCCGCGACGTACACGCCATTCTGGACGATGGGATGAATTCTTTTCGGCTCCTTCTCATTGCCTTGGTTCTCATTGTTGCTCTTGGGTCGCTTGCTGCTGGGCTCGCTGGAGTCTAAATGACCAGAAGTACGCTTCTTGTCTCCTTTGCGTTTAGATTGCCCAGACTGAGTCGGAGGTTCTGCTGCAGATGTCAGCAAGGAAGGAAGCAGCAGCCAGACATATGGAGTAGCTGCTTACGTGCATTCGATGTTTCGTGTGAGCTCTGAGTGGGACCGTCGGCAGGTGCCGGCGTTGAGCCTGCTGGCTCAGCGGGGTCGCTCGTTTCATTCCGAATGTGATATTCCATATACTTCTGGTCAGAGGCATCGTAATCCTTCACTGTGTAAGTCGAAGGCGGAGTTTGCAGGCGAGTCTTCGTCCGCTTGAACTCCAGTATCGATCGAACGCCCGTCCATTGAAAGTTGACATCGGGCTTGCGGCACGCCAGTTCACCGTACATGTGTTCCTTGGTGCAGTCCTTTCCATTCTTCCGCACGTGCCGAGCGCTCTCGCGAGAGATGATGACGACGTCAGGTTTACGTCTGGCCTCTGCGCCTTGGTGCGTTTGTTTCATGAACATCGGGTCGTTTAGATGAAATAAGATATCATTAGAGTCGTCGTGAGTCTTGGAAGAAAGTAATCCGGGCGCGTCCAGGTCGCTCAGTTCAAGGAGTGCACGATTGGCAGCTCGGATAAAAGGCGCGTAAGAGGGCACTTCTGTAGTGCATTTGACACTTTGACAATGGCATTAATTTCCTTTCGCACGATTTGAACTTTTGACTTACAAATCAGACAAATGTTTGTTGATGTCCTGAGCGGCGCTGGTCTGGTTGCAGAGGGGCAGGACGGCTTGGAAGGAATCGTTAAGTAGTGTCGACTTGTCAGTCGGAGGGGATTTTGAGGGATCTCTGCAGCGATAAAGGAGCTCCCGCAGCATTTCATCGAACTCGCATCTGCTGAAGTCCTGAACGTCCCGCGTAATCCATGGACGGATATCGTGGACGCTGCACAAATGAAAGAGTTAAATACCAGTGTATGGTGACTAGAGGAAAGTGTACGCACTCGACACCTAGAGTACTGATATGTTCGCTGACAACAGCAGAACCAACTGCATTTGGGGTGGACTTGAGCTGGGGGACAGCGTCGACGCCGTGGGGAGGTGTCTTTGGCGCAGTGGCGCCAGGAGTATTGACCATGAGAAATATGTTAGCGAACTCGTTGAAGACAAGCAAATGCAGATCGAGGCTTGCTTTTAAGCCAGGTCAATAGTACTATTGTTTAGACATTTCAAGGCCACAATCGATACGTTGATGTTGCGCCACAGTCACGGTTCGAACCAAACCATCATGATCACAGCCACTATCATCAACTTCTTTTGACGCCCAGCATGATCGCCGAGCTTCTTTTTGTTCAGCGCGCGGAACCGGTCGTGAAATTTACATCATACGTCTCGGTAGATCATGCGATATGATTCGCTGTGATGCATCGTCTCGACGTCGCCCACCCTAGCTGGCACATTGTGATGTCTCAAATCGTACTCTTTTTGTTGAACGCTCAACAGAATCAAATCTGTAGATCATCGGCATCATTACCATCATGCGTCAAGTTTCGATGTCGCGCACATGATCGTCCACCGTGATTTCTCCAACGAGTAAGTCAATTGCTTCTCAGATATCAGACATCAATCTCCCAAGTTACGCCATTGTTCATTTTTGCATGCATTGCTCAATGAATTCAGCAAGAACAAGGACTGATTGATTCTGCGCTCAGCGGAACATGAGGAAACAATCTCGCAGAAGAATTCTGCCCATGCAGCAAGATCGTGGTATGCTTGGACGGAGCTACTACGGGTCATGGCTGACAGATCAATGTCTGGTAAATCGGGCTTCATTGAGATCCTCGGGACATCACTCATGCGGAGGGTCTGGAGCGCTGGGCCTTCCAAATCGAACAGGCGCTGGTCTCGAACTCGCTGAATGGCGCTGTATAGGCGGATGAAGGTTCCCGGATTCCTGTACGCTTATTTTGAGCTCTTTCGAGGCGCTCCGCAAATTCTTCCTCTATGAACCTCGCGTCTTCTAGTGTTCCCTGTAGCTTATACCTGATGATCGCCTCGAAGACGCCTGCGACATTCTCCGGCCTCCATTATCTCCCCCGTCGGACCTGTATCTGAAAACGCATGGCGACATGTATGTCAAATATCGCTTTTGCCATGTTCCTCAGACCACTGTACCTCCCTGTGTCCTCTACATCATCTCTTTCCTCGTTGAAGGCGAAGCCAAACTCACAAGGATACGTTTGAGCTGACTCAAAGCTGACTCAAAGCTAATTCATACTCATCTGGTGGTGGCGTCGTGTCCCAAAGTGACCTGACAACTGAATATTTGAATATGGAAATATGCCGTCGGCGTCCATGCTCCATGGCGGGTTGTTCAATTCAACGCGACGGGTGAGGTTCAAACTCCAAGTGTACAGCCTTTGCCTCAAATTGCCGTGCCTGTTTTTATCGCAGATGATGGCTTCTGGGAGCCAGAGATGTGAGCACTATTGCGCGCTCACTCCCCAGAATAACAGGACATCATTGCTCACCTCGTTTTCAGACACTTAATCATACTGGGTACCATTACGAACGTGCACCGACGATGGCCCATCAGAAGTAACATCGCTTCGTACTCACGCTCGAATCCGAACACGGAGCGCTCGTCGTCTGAATCGCATTTTTTCAAGGCACAACATTGGACTCCTTCATTGCATGCACGGAAACGGGCGACGCATGTACAATCATCTTTTCTTGAGCCTAACCAAATAGTGTTACGGTTGTCGTTCGCCGGGACTGCGTGGCTTACCAGCCTGCGGAGCATAAACTCGTTCAGCTCTGAAGAGGTAAAAACCTGACCGAATTTTTATGTTCGTGTTGAATTTGCCAAGGCAGCACCTGCATAACAATTTTTTTCCAGACATGTACTAATGCCCTCCCCTTTCCCCGATCAGCTCATGACATGGACTGTAGTAACTCAGCCTCACCGCTGCGATGAAAACCGTACATCGCGAACATAATAAGGATTCACAGGTTAACCATCAGCTAGCACTTCATTCTCGCAGCATTTGCATCCCGTTATAGTGCTATACGGTTGCATGGGGCGTTGATACAGCACTTATGGATGCTGCTCGTAGTCTAAGGACCACCAAATGTAGCGCCCCCGAAGCACATGTAAATTTCGACACCTCTGGCACATTCACCATCCCTCCAGAAACTGCACAAGCATTGTCACTCGCCCGTACTCACAGTTGCAATGTACTTCCCAACGAAAGCGCTGATTGCTACCACTCTCATGGTAGCGTCTGCATGTGCTCAATCTGCCAACATTAACCAGCCTGCACCTGGCTCCAATATCACTGCCAGTACCAACTTTACTGTGCAAATAGGCATGGCGGTAAGCTTTCAAACACATATCCTTTAGAGCGTCATGACAATTAAGACCCGTGCACTCCCAGATCGCGCCTACAAACGTCGAGGAGATAGCGATCGTAATTGCTATCCAGTCTTGCCCAACTGGGTACTGTTACAACGCCAGTGAGGATATGGGAACTGTCTTGTACGAAGGCCCGTACAATCCACAGCTTGGTTCGGACGCATCCGACCTATATCAGGACTTCTCTGTTCAAGTCCCTGCATCCTTCGCTACCGGGCAAGCACAGCTTGGACTTGCTCACTTTAGCCTCGTCGGAGTACGTTATCCCTGACTATCTTGATGTGCATATCTGAGAGTATATGGTGACCTGTTACCATTCCGAAATACTTCGGCTCCCAACAGAGTGGGAAACACAAGTCCCTGAATGCATCAATTACATCAGTGGCAAAGACCTCAACCACCGCTCGGTAAACCCATTTCCTGGTCATTCTTAAGTCGCAGGTCGCCGCCCTCGCACATACCTGTTCTGCCCTGTTCTCCCGTGTTCGTGCCACTCCTACATCACATCAGCGAGCTACTCCAATACTCGACTTCGACATCCCTGACTTCAACTTCCACGGTACTGCCAGTTCTGACGCCACCAACAAAAACCACCACTTCTCGAATCTCCATGCATCACTTTTTGGCTTCTTCAAGCATCCTCGTGTCCCCATCTCCCATACAGAACTTGGGTGTGCAGTGTAGCATATCCTTGACAGTGTTTTGTTCTTTACATACCACAAAATTTTAATCATAAACCAACTTAAATCCCCGTGTCTTTGGTTTGCTGCAATATTCAAATTATGACTATCAATGACAGGAACATGTATGTAGGCACTGATACATAGTAGGGTAGTATGTACTAGGTGGAGCTGCAAGGTACGAGAGGACAAAAAAAAAGTGGAAATCACTGAAGACAGAATGCAAAGATGCCAGGTAGTGGTAACTGGTGGGCACAGACAAGGATTGAAGGGAAGAGACAACAAATGTCAACTACGAGCGTGATGGCGATCTGGCATTGGATCTTGACACAGAAGTGTTGCCCAGTCTTGATGTGCTGTTCCAAAAAATCAACCGGCAGTGATGGCATAGCTGGGCTGCAGGAAGGAGCAGGAGCAGGATTGGTGTCAAGGGTTATAGGTAGGATGCAGAGAGATGGCAGCATTCACAGGCACTAAGATTGGAGAAAAAGGCAGAGGACGCTGTGCACAAAGACCACAAGCTTGACAAGTAAGACAACAAAGACATTTAATTAGGACAATAAAGATGATAATACATGAAAAAAATATTGGTGCCTTTCTCCGACGCAGTTTGTGGGGTTTGGACAAAAACAGACAAAAAAGTGTTCTATTGTGACCTATTGTATGTACATAGCATACACTGATACTTCTCTACAGTAAATAGGTGGATATGGTATGGTGGTGGGCAGGAATGTGCTGGGGAGGAGTGTGGGAAATGTTGAGATCCAGGAGATGACCAGAAGTGGCTATGTTTTGGGTGTAGTAAAAAATTTCCCACAGTCTAAAAAATGCGGTGGTGGGATGCATTAAAGGTGCATTGGGTAATGCATGGTGTTGGGGGGGTTTCAGGCTCCGGATGTTTGGACTTGAATGTTACCAAATATTGAAACTGAACGAGGCTCCGAGTTGGAACAGGGCACCACATACTCTGTTCGAAGAGACTAGAGTTGTTATTTGTTTGTTTTGTGTGGCCGGTATCCACCTGAGAAATTGCTAGTTTGGCATCCTTGTGGACATATGTGTTCATGGCGGTAATGCTGAAACATAATAATTTCTGCTATGCTACAGTGTGAAATGTCTGCACCAGCATTCACCCTGGCAGTTGGAGGTACTCCATACTGGGCTAGCTAACCTGCACCATGAGGAGCTGTGATGCTGAACTATGCCTGTGGTATCAAGACCACAGCAGCTACCTTGTGCATCAGCAAAACACTTTTTTCCCACCACCAAAAAATGGCTGGCCACAGCTTGGTCCCTTCTGTACAGAGCTGTATGGAGCCCACAGAGGCAAAGTGATTTGCTGATGTGCGGTGCATTGCCTCTTCATTGCAACCATTACATTTTTGTCTTGAAGGACACTGCTGACTAGATGAATTATGCACATAAGAGTATAGAAGCTCCTTTTGTAATTCATTGGTGCAGCAGCTTACATTCCAGCTGGTTGCATAGTATTCGGCCCATTCAATAGCGTTAGAATGCTTTAGTTGTCATCAATTGACCCACAGTGAGCATTGCCACTCTACATATCTCCAAGTATCTGACAATGCCTTCACCTTAAATTAGGTCTGAAATGTAGACTCATCTAGCCTAAACAGAGTGGAGGTAGGATAATGTGATTTGCTAGTTGGATTGGGGCAATGCCAAGAGTTTTATCTTGTGGTTGTGCTTGAAGAACAATAAGAAGCTACTTGCCTTCCTTGTTCCACTTTTGGTCATTGATTGAGCTTGCTCAAGAGCTCGCACCTGGGTGGCACTATCTATCTTACTAATAAGTAATTATGTCAGGTACCTGATCCCATTACCAACTAGCAGCATGTAGCTATGTTATACTGTACCAGGAAATAAACCAGTAAACCAGCAGTGCCTTAGCTCTTCAGTATCCTCCTTGTCTTACTTAATGTGGTCATGGCTGTTTGGCCACAATGAGTCACCGCTGCCTAATCCTGAATAGTGTCAGCATCAACTGTTTCCCACCACTGTCACTGCTTCCACTTATCACCCACTTAGCTGCTCATTGTCCTCAATGACAAGCTCAACATATGCCTTGTTCTTTGTTATGACCAGCGTCCCTTAACCTAACTAGTAGGTGTCTGGAGTCTAGATCACACCACAGGACTCAGTCTGAAGAGGATAAAGCAAGATGGATTTGAGAGGGAACGTCTAGGCCCTACGATAACGTAGAAACGAGGAGGTTAAGTCTAAGGAGTACTACTGACTACTACCTAGACTATATACTACTATTGGGGCGGAGCTATCTGAGTATGAAAGGTATGTGATATAACTATATACGGTCATAACATTGCACCTAGGGTATAGGGCGTCTTATCAACCAATCAACTACAAGAAGAGAAGGGTAAAGGGTTCATAGGGCCAGGGGTATCAGTAATTAAGCAGGGTTCTCAGGGACTGCTTCTATTCAGGGT